ATCCATCCATCCATCCATCCATCCATCCATCCATCCATCCATCCATCCATCCATCCATCATAGGTTGCCAATGATTGAAAACATAAAATTGCTCAACTAGCAGTTAAAGACCAGGAAAGGCTAGTGCATAAAAAATTAAAAGAAATATACCTATCAAAATGCTCCACGGTAATATCCACATTTGTCGGAGACAAAGTATTATTTGAATAATATACCACAGGTCTTAAAGATATGCTATCAGAAATGAACTCATTCTAACAAGAAGATCAACAGTATGAGGTGAAAAAAAGAAAAAAAACCTGAACTATTACAATCATCTCTCTGTTACATAAATATATTGTTAGTTGGGGGGCAAGCATGTTATGCTGAAAGAAGACATGGGAACATAAGAAAGGTCATTCTCAGCATTTGCTCAAGCGAAGACCAGATGAGAAATGAAAAGCGTACACGGGAGAATAGAACAAAGGAGGTCGGCAGAGTAATAGAGACATGGAACGGTAACGGTGTGTGTGTGTGTAAGAGGCAGATTAATGCCAGAGGCTTCTTCATCACCCACTAATCCCAGCTGAGGGATACACCACTTCCTAGCACTGCTAGAACTCCTTATACCTTCCCCTGTCATTTGCTCCCACACAATCTCTGAAACATTACTTTACATGGATTCTAATCGGAGTTTGCACCGTCATCACACGCTGCTGTCGGCTGGATTAGCTGGAGTTTAAAGGGCTGTGAAGGCAGCCTATTTTTGGAAGCGAGAAAACACGCAGAACAACAAAGCAACTCTGCCAGCATCTGTAACTAAATGATGCATTCAAATCTCAAGCTCCACCAAAGTTGTTCAGTCAATGCTCAGGATGTCAGGAAATTTATGAAAATGTTCAACATGCTTTCAGGTTGTTTGAGGCTTGTTTGCATCAAGGTCAAACCAGGATAACAAGCGTTAAGGAGTAATAATCCCTAAAAAAGGTGACATTGAAGGGCTTTAGTGAAAAAGACAGTTTCAACAGATGCTTAATTCAGCCAGAACATTAGTCTATGATGGCATGTGTCACATCAGTTTCTCACACAACTCTGTCATGCAGAAGAAAACTGGGTATGACTAATTAATAATGATTTGTTCCTTAGCCACCACTGAATCTCTGCTCTCAGCATCCTGTTCCCTTGAGTTTGGCTTTTGCTAGGTGCATTTATCCCTTGTTTGGTGGAGAACGCTGCAGAGGCTGCAGTGACTGCTAATAATGTGAAAGGGAGCTGAGTCACTGTAAGAGGTGCATTGCGCTTCGGATTGGCGAGTTGTTTCAGTGGTGTAGAGGTAGAGAAAGTTTAGCTCCATAACCTCATTTAATATGACAGTTAGGATTAAGGAGGTGGCAGATAAGAAAACAAGAGCAGACATTGATTACAGTACTGAAAAATAAAAGGTGTGAATTTTTGAGAAAGAAAACCTGTTAGAGTTATAAAGGACACCACATTTGCCAAATTTTGATCCGGCACTGAAAATTTCGGATTTAAACTTTTTTTCTTGCTACTGAAGATGTAAGAGGAGACAGGAACAGGAAGAAAATGAGAAAAGAGGTAGTTCTGCAGAGAGGGGATAGGGCTGCAATGTTAAAGGATAAAGCAAAGGGCAGGATATCGACTGATTACCTTCAATTATGTGTTTTCGGTTAAGGCCTCTCTCTGTCTCAGCTCTGAAATAGGAAAAAAAGAAATCATAAGATGGGAAACACACAATAGTTGCAACTGTAACTGCTTAAGCAGAGGGCTAATAATGCTAAAGAGGATTCTGTAATATCTAAATATCTCAAGATTTGACATTTTCAAAGCTAAGAAGACATGGCCAATGACCTAAACTAACAATCAAACCCCAGAGAGAGCACAAATTAGATAGGGCCATGATCATTCTGGAGAAGCTGCCATTGTGAGAAAGAAATAAGTCACTTTTCAGTTGTCTACAAGTTATGTAGGTATACCATATCTTTTTAACTACACAATAATCCTTTAAACAAATACCACAGTCCTCTAGAACCTTTTCCTGGATGTCTATTCTGGAGCCTTCCCAAATTTCTAAAGGTATATTAGTAAAAGTATTTAGGGGAGTAGCAGCCTAGTGGTTAGGGCATAGAGCTTGGAATCCTGAGGTTCTGAGTTTGAGCCCCACTCCCACAGACTGCCACTCTGGGTCTCTGAGCAAAACCCTTAACCCCACACTGCTCCACAGGCGCCGCACAATGGCAGCCCACTGCTCCCCAAGGGGATGGGTTAAATGCAGAGAGTTCATTTCATTGCTCTGCACTTGTGACAGTGTAATGACAATAAAATGCTGAAAAAAAGCCTTAGCAAAGGAGGATAAGATATTATACATTGGTATAGAAAAACCAGGAAGTTCGAGATATTAACTGGGTGTTTCAGCTCAGGAGCCATGTCTTCTTAAGAACAAGATTATCTTTTATTTGAACTTTAACCTTAAAACTTAAAGAATGTTTCTTTGTCTGACAAAGAAAAGTTACAGGAATTAGTTGAGAACCAAGGGCCAATAAGTTATCCTGTCTAACCTTTCCTCTGGGGTCTGTGTTTGTGACACGTCTGATACGCACTTTCCCTTCAGCTGTGTTTCTCACACGCTCCCGGGAGGGATACCTGACTGTGTAGCTGCTAAATGTTAGCTGACATGTAGCTCTGTGATTCTCGGGGCAGTATTGCCATTGTGGTTTGTATGAAATTGTATCTTTGCAGATTGCCAGTCATTTAACCTTTGTTTACTCATTTATTAAGAAGGCTTCTTTATTTCATTCCCTGATGGTGCTATTGAAGGAGCAATTGCTGCCATAAACTGTGCACTCTGTGTCTACCTTACTTATAGAAAATACTCCTAGCTCAGTGCTTCTGCATTTCACTTTGTTTCTTTGAATGATGGAGCCATTTATGGCCCTAAAGCTGGACCTGCTTGTCTTGTTAATTGTCTCAAGATTACATTTGGTGTGAATTGGTCTATACAAATGAAAATTGATGTTATATTTTACTCAGCTTCAGTGATTTTAACCTTTCTGCATCTTTGACTCTCTGGCTTGCTTTTCTGTTAACTTTTTAAATGCTTTCTCTTTCACTATATCGTCAAGTAATCTTACATTTATAAAAAAATAAGTAGGAGGCATCCATTAAATATGCTCACTACTCTTAGAGTAGCTCCATAAATGCATTTAGGGTTGATGGAGACTTTAAATACATTGGTAGTTGCCCAGTAGAATGATTTTATCATATAAATTTGCACTATGCTCCTTTATACCCTCTGTAGTGACTTAGATTATATTTGAAGAAAACCAAAAGAAGTATGTGAGTGCACTGGTGGATACTAGACATCCCTCGGTAAAAACCTGAAGGCTGTTTGGAAGGAGGAGGAATGTGACTAATAAGGACCAAACTGACAATATTTCAGCATGACAGCAGGAGCAAATATGATGTTTGGCCTGAGGGATCTAGATGTTAAATAAGACATGAAAGCATAAACAAGATGGGAGCATGCTGTCATTTTTTTTAAGTTTAATGCCCTGTGTGTGCACCTGTGGGTTTCCCACAATGTCTGATTCAACGGCATACTCCCTAGAACTGGAGGCAAACATTTTAAGTCTAGTCGGTCATTAGTCATATAGTCTGAACATCTGAGAGGCAAAACCTGCACGCAAAAGATAAAACATTTGCACACACATGTGTATACTTACTTTCCTCCCCAGTAGAGCTTTGTGGTGATCACAAGACTGGATCTTCTGAAGGGTGCAAAAAAAAAAAAAAAAAATTTATAAAAAAAAAAAAAAAAAAAAACGAGAAAAAAGTAAAAAACATTCTTTAAAGATGTTAATATGTGTTAGCATGACAGTGCATATTTTAACACAGTGCTGTGTCTAAACTCAAGCAAGTGAAGCAATCAAATCAATTAAAGACAAGAGTGTACTTAAGTGATCTTACATCTTGTTGAGAGAAGTGACAGAGAGACAGTGCTCCTGTTTCTTATCAAGTTTGAGGGGCTGGATTGTGAGGTTTTTAACAATCAAACTCCAATACATATTCCATGCTTGAATTTATCAAACATGTAACAATATTAATAAGCTCAGGAAGATGACAGTAAAAAATACTGATAAAGCATGTAGATATGTGCAAAAAAAGGTTTTTGTGATTAGTTTGCAAATTATGTAGAACCTGCTTAATAAAATAACTAGATTGCTGGGAAATGGGATTTCACGATTTAGTGGTTTCTTTATATAATTAATACAGCAGGTAGCATACTGTAATCAGAATCTCTTTGTTGTCATTTTGTATGCACATGGTGTACACAGAATTAAATTTTGTTGCATACAGCTCATGACAATATGATGAAATTGCAATAAAATAAGATAAAAATACAATCTTAAGTGCAGCAGAGATAGGAATGTTTCATTTTGCAAGAAGAAACAGTTTTAAAAAGTGTGCCAAAGAATGTACGACCATGTTGATAATACAAAAATAAAATAACAATGCATGCACGTTTCTTCAGCTCACCATATAGATGCTTGAAAGCAAAAAAGAAAGATAAGTTAAGTACTGTTAGCCTTTTTTTTTATAATGATATAATATTAATAGGCCTACATATATACAGCATATAGGAATGTTGTTTGGGCCAAGTCCTATATCATTTGCTTAGCAGTTAAACAGGAAAAAATAAACAAACTTTTTACAATTTAATGTAATTCTGATGGCCATTTATTTTTCTATGTCAATAAAGTTAAAATAGGTTTCATTTTAGGTTTTCTTTCTACTTGTATTATGTTTTGTTTGTAGCATATGTTATTTACTTCATGCCCAGCAGGTTTTTATGTAATTAAGATCAGTAAAAGAATCCAAAACGGACAAATAAATATCGTAAGTCATTACTATTACTTTCATGATCCCTGCCCTGATAGATGTTCTAATTGCTCACTTCACTCAGCTGTCAAACCCTGGAGAAGATGAATGATGAGTAGTAACCGGGGAGGGTTACTACTCATCGTTCATCTTATACAGCTCTTATATATGGCTACGGCCAGCTATCAGGGCCAGATCATTACATTTGTTTGTGTGTTTTTTCCGAGTTGGAGTTTTAGTTGAGACTGTGGCTAATTTCCAGGGTTCATGTTTTCATTCTTGGAGGTCAGTGGTTAGAGAGGGTTGTCAGTGTTGTCTTGTCATTTGCTGATCATGCCCTGGTTCTTATCCACTGAGCATGCTCTGTTCTTCTTTGGCTCAGTTGAAAGAGCTTTCCTGGTGTTGTGTCGTGTTCTTCCTCTCAACTACTGAGCCTGCCTGGTTCCATCTGAACGTTTCTGTATGAACTCTCTGTTGGACTCATGAAACTCTGAACCTGCCTGGACACTCTGTGGATTCCTGGAACCCTGAACCTGCCTGTTCCTGTTCTGATCGGAAACCATGACTGGGTTACGAACTCCTGGATCTCAGAAGCATCCTGTTCTGTACTGTTTCCCTAACCTGGCTCATGCAAATATTATTTTTTGAGCTGTTTTAAAATTTTAACTTTTCAACTTTTTGACATTAAAAAGCTTTTATTTTGCATTTGAGACAAAAAAATAATAAAAACTTTTACACACAGCCAACGATTGTATACTTAGAGCATAATTCCTTGCATTTTTCCACAACAAACAAAAATCCCTAATAGTACCTGTATGGCAAATGTTGTTATATTTTTTCAAATTCAATTTTTATTTTTGTTTTTTACCATTAAAGAAAGCTACTGGTTAAAAACAGTCCCTGTCTTTGTAATAGTTGCCAAATTGGCTGTTTTAATTACAACTCAATATTGGCCCAGTTTAACTTTGATTGATTTAGTTTTGCTCCAAGGGAAATTGGGTTGTGATGGAAAACCCACAAGGTCTTCATTAGTGGGTAAGGAGAAGAGATGGTGGTAAATAATTAACCATCCTCTTCTCTCCTTACACCTTTGTCCTTCAGGTGTCTGCAGTAAATGTCCTCTAAGAACTGATGTTGTCATCATTATACCCCCAGAACTCTGGTTTATTTTTGCAACAACAAAGTTATTCATTCCCAAAAAAGAAAATTAAAAACAATCCACGGACTTTGTTTCCAAGTTTGAAGGTTTCGCTACCATCCAGGAAGCTTTTTCATTTCAAAATGTCAAGAATAGTGTTGAGTTTGAGGTTTTATACACCAGGAAGCCCAGGTTTTGATGGGCTTCCTGGATGGGAAGCGAAACATCTTCAAACTTGGATACAAAGTCCAGTGAATTGTTTTTAATTTTCTTTTTTTTTTTGGAATGGATATGACCTTTATGACTGAGAATCTTCACCAGAACAAAGTTATTCCATTTTTAATTAATATACTACTTAGTCAGGTAGGATAATGTCAAAGCCTGTTTTAAGTTATACCCCATGACATCCTTAGCTCACTGTTTTGTAAAACAGTACAGTAACTTGCCCATTTCCTCTCTAGCCAAGACTCAGGCCTAAAAATGTCCTTCTGTGTTCAGAACACAATTAACACCCAACCCTTCCTTTAGGTTGTGTGAGGGGTTTTCAGATGTATTGTGCTTGTTCAAGCACATCTTGGGAATGTTAAATGTTTCTGGGATGTAGGGAGTTTAGAGACCATCTTATTGCCTCTGTCTTACCGCTGTGATTCTTGAGCTGTTTCTTTGCAGCTTTACATGTAATTGTTTTGAGGGCTTTGCCTGCAAGGCCATCAGGGGGTTAGTAGGCAACACTTTTATGAATGTATGTAATCAAGATCACTGCATTTTTATGATGAATTGCTTTTTCTACCTTAGCATTCTCATAATGTACACATGCTTTATAATGTTGATGATTTAGCAGCTTTACACAGGACCATGTTTGATCGTGATGAGGATGGTTGAAACGGAAATAATAAAGTTAGACATTTACATTTGGTTAGAATTAACATCTTATCTGCTGCTATTGTTTGCCTGGTGTGACCACTTTACCTCCAGCACTTTTTCTTGATGATGTTCCCCAAGATTATCTCTGCTCTGTGGAAGAAAACAAAGATTAAATCAAAAAAAGCAAAACCAAAAGCAACTCACCCAAGGAATGATGAGATTAGATTAGATTGCACATATTTCCCCGGTATGAACATGAACGTTATTAGCTGCGCTTCTGCAGCGTGATTAAAAACTGTACAAGAGAAAAGATAAATGACTCTTGGACTGTAGGTATGAATTCCTAAAGCAACCTTGAAGTGTATTTTTTGTACCTTCTACTTGTAGCCCATCATTCACCAAGATGATGTCCAGATTGGTGGTTATACTGAGCAGTGGTCATAAAAGGGAGGTGCTAGTGGGGAATCAGCAATACCTACCTCCAAGGACAACACATATAAAATAATGGACATAGGGACAAAAACGAAGAAAGAAACTGCTAAGAGAACTAATAGAAAAGAAAGGGAGCATTAAAATATATATGTAAAAAAAAAATAGATAAGAAATACAAAACAAAGGTTCAGCGATAATAGTTAGGTCATTTTAACCCTTATTCTTTTTCATAAATGGGGGAAGGTACCCTTCTAAATATGTTATAAAAGTGTAAGGATGATTACAAATGGGAGGCAGCACTCACTTTCCCCCAGAGTAGACCTCGGCCGTATCGAACAGGTTGACCCCACTCTCATAGGCGATGGTCATCAGCTGCTCTGCCACCTGAGAGACAGGTGAGAGAAGTCAGTGTTCATAATTCTCATGGTGATGGCCTAACCCAGCAATGGTGACTCATTTTTCAATTCAAAGGGGGAAGGAATCCCCCCCCCCAAAAAAAAAAAAAAGAAGAAGGGCAAATTTGTTTTCCTCAGAGAAACAAACCACCACAGGCTGCTTGTGTGTTAAAGCTGTTTACTACAGGAAGGCTTCCTCAGACATTTCTGACCTAATTCTTATGCTTTCACTTCTTCCAGTATGAAAGAAGAGGAGAAATGATTCTAATGTGCTTTCCTCATTTAGTATTTATAATTATGCTTTGTGTGTTAGTTTCTCCCAGAGGCCATCCATCAGTGATGAGCTGTCCTCTATTCAGTGCCCCTTTAATCCCCTTTCCTCCAAGGATGGCTCAGACCATTAAAATATATCTTCTGACAGTGAAAAATGAAACCTGACCACTTGGACTTGTTGGACACAGAATGGTTTAATGGGATATTTTAAAATGGATAACAGGGTGATAATGATGGTCTACATACACCCACACAATTTAACATGAAGCTCCAACAAATTTCTTCCATAAGTGGTGAACTGTACACTGTTTTTTTGACCTAGCTAGATTGAAAAGAATGAAAGCCAGCATCTGCTGTAGAGCTGCAACTGCTGAGTAATGGAAGTGACATAAAGCCTTACCTCATCAGAGATCTGACCTCCAAATGTTACCCATGTCCCTGTTAAAGGAAATTCCACAAGTCAAATCTCCAGCAAAAGAAAAAAAAATATATATATGTAACACTTAAACAAACCAGTTGGTTTTAATCTGCATTCATTAATACTTCAACCTTCGTTCCACACAGATCGAGAAAATGCATCCTGGCCTTAAGCCATTTGTACCAAATGTCAGCTAAACCTTCTTTAAATATAGTATTATTTTTGCACATCCAGAGAGATGTTTTTTTTTATTTTATTTCATCTGACATCAAAATGTATAGACATTCCACAGCAGGAATGTAATGTGCAGAGTGAATTGGAGCATCACTGCTATCTGCCTGTCGGTTCCATTAAGATCAAACAAACACAAATATCCCAAGGATAAGAACTGAACCTGAAAAAATGAGATGAAAGTTAGATTAAATCAGTGTGAGTAAATGTAATCAGCATTATAATATAATATATCAATAAGAATTAAGTTTAGGTTTAAATATTTTTTTTTACTAAATATTGTTTTTTTGGTTGCTCCTCCCATTCTAGGTATTGATAGGAATTGGCCTGTACTTATACAGCACTACAAATCAGGTGATTTAAAATAGCTTTGCAATGCAGTCAGTTTTTCACTCATTCACAACGGAAAGCTACATTATAGCCACAGCTGCCCTGGGGCACACTGACAGAAGCAATGCTGCTTGGCACAGAGCACCAGGCCCTCTGACCACCATCAGTGGGCAATGCAGGTGAAGTGTCCAGCTCATGGAAGAAGCTAGGGTTTGAGCCGGTGGCTGGTTCTAGGAAGAACTCAGGCATCCTACGACTGTTGCCCCACAAAGGGCTATTTTTGCATGCAGTTAATGATTTTTTATAAAGGTTTTATAAGTCTCAAATTGTATTTTAACAAAAATATACTATGTTACAAGCAATACAAAGGGGTCATAAATTTTCAGCTAGAAAATTATCAAGGATTTACGGAATTTTAGCTCTGATGTATTCCTGATAAAAGGGAGAGCTATATCACCTACAATACAAATTGTTTTCCCCTCATAATTTAATAATGTCAGATCCTGTTTTCAATAATATGCTGCCTGAAAATGTGGCCAAAATTTCAGTATTACGTGTCACTAATAAAAAATAATGGATTTTTTCAGTTAAATATTTAGCCAAATGTCCAGTAACCAGGCAGCAGATTGGTGTAGGCGCAGGCTGAGTTTTCCCAGCTGGCATTGGCAAAAACACAATCTGCTTAATTTACAAGATGGACCCATTGAATAAGGCAGAAATTTTCATTTCACATACTATACTTTAGGGATTATGTCTTATGGGGGATTTTTCTACAGTAAATCAAGATGTTGCTTTCTTAGCAATGATAATAAGTAAGTGAGTTGAATCTGAAAACCTGTGATTCACTCATTTCCCCAATCTGGTCTATTTCAAGGCCTTAACAGCTCATTGTAGGTGAAATGTCAGGAATATGGATTGAATCAGGGGTAACATTCATAACTCAAAGGTCCAAGGTCAAAATTTTCTTTGGGTTACCGGAGGAACAGTTTTGGTCTCTGAACAAAAACTAGGCCTTTCTATACTCTACTCTATTCTTATTATTATTAGACAGCGCACCTTTAAGATACTTTGAATGAATTGGACTCCACGTGTGAGTTGGTGTGGCTATGAAAACAATGAATGCAGTTAAACATCCCTTATAGCCCAGATTGTCTAGCTCACTATGTTTTTTTTATTCTTTTTATCTAGAAATAACGAACACCGTGCTGATTTTAGCTACCTTTTGCTATTAATAAAATCATTCAGTTTTTTTCTGCACAAGAGAAGATCATTTACAAAGATTTTTTAAATCTAAATAAAACATTAGGAATATACTCCTGAGGAAATTCAGAAACGGAGTTGGAACCTTGGACTAGGAGACAAGGTCCCTGACAACTTGTTCATAAAAACCTTTGGAAGACTTCATAAAAGTGCATCCTGTTCCAAAATGGGGATTGTTAAGTTTAATTGTATTAACATGACTCACTTTCAATACCACATTAGCAAAATAAAAACAGGTCTTCTGGTCATGCCCACCTTTTGCTAAATTATCTTCAGTAGATTTTCAAACGTTTTACAGTCTGGGGTTAAAGTTTTTACTGAATCCATATAATCCATTTTTGGTACTGAGCCAACTGCTAAGTGGTGAAAGAGCAAATTTAGCAAGATGGCAGCATTCTGTACTATTGCACTAAGAAACTTGTGTGTGTAGTAATTTAGGGGAATTTGGGTGTAAGTGTTAATTGGAGATATCCGAGGATCTTTGTGATTTCTGCTTGTAAAAGAAAATATATGCATTATTTTCATGCCAATCATTGTCCACTAAAACTCTCTTAAAAATGGAGATGGACATATAAAATGATAAAGGAGGTATTATCACGTCTTTTGCAATTTGAAAGTCCAATACTGAATAGTGTATTTTAGCACTAATTTACAAATTAATTCATACACATGTGAAAAAAGGCTTGTGTTCAGAGAAAATAATGCAAAGCAATGATTCTGTGCTTTTCTAAACCAGCATTTTTTTTAATACTGAAAAATGTAATTTTACATTTCTGATATGATGTTGACAAATGTTGCTTTTATATTGCTGTGATGAAAAACCCTCTTTTTTTATTACTTGGGATGTGACTGTTGGAAACGTAAGGCTTTTGTGCAAAAAAGCAAAGTAAAGAAGAGTTGTAAGAGGCCTTGGCCAAGATGTGTTTTTCATAACATTCTAATCATTTCTCCTGCTTGTGGTTATTTCACTAACACAGTTTACCGCCAACTTCCCCACCATCTGAGCAAAGGTTCAGGAAAGTTAAAGCTTCTAAGATTTCCTTGAATTTAACTGAACAGTGAAAAGGTCAAAGAAAAAAGATATGCACTATAGCTGGGATCTAAATGCCACATAAATATTGTAAGCATCATATTTTAAATGCGTTTTTTCTTCTTTTTGTCAAAGACTGGTAAACGAAAATAACATTTTGCTCAAGGGCACTGCAACATGATATAAAGCACTGCTGGATGTTTTTTTTTTTTTTTTTCCCCATAATATTAACTGTTGCTCAGTGAGCTGTGGGTAATTTTTTTAAAGAAAAAAAAATTGAAAAAGGAATGATTAACAGTTTCATTCTAACCGTTTTCTCGTTGGTTGGTGAGCCAGTAAAACTCTGTATCATCTTGGTGCCTTGTAAAGCAATTTTTTTTTTCTCAGGGTCACAACCCCCTGAAGAAATCTAAAAGTATTTTTCTGGATGAATGAGAAAGAAAGAAGACTTCCCCCGGAGGTTTGGATCATATATATGTAACAGAGTTTTCTGTTTACTGAAAACCTCTCTGCCGATTAAATATTAACAGGGGAACTGTTAATGTTCTCCAAATGGCTGTTTTGTCTCTCATGGCTTCCCATACAAATTAAATATGCATGAGTTTTAAAATGCCGCTAATGATATGATTTATTTAGAGGCAGTCTGACTCCAAATGGCTGTCGTCCCAATCAATCATCCACACACAAACAATTAAGGCTAGGTAGCACCTGAATGTTTATGAAGTCATTAAATATTTGCTTATTCTAATTAAATGCACTCACCGAGGCCCAGACAGGAGACACGCAAACCAGATTTCCCCAGGTTCCTGGGAAAAAAAAAATCAAAGCTTGATTCAGAAAGAGGACCAACAATTATATCCACATGCCATCATTAGAGTGTGATTGAAATGATTATCTTCTATCCTGTTTGAAAGCAACAGGTAATGCCGAACAGGACATTTCAAAATCTATGGAAAAGGATCAATACCTAATAATAGTGTTGGGTTTCTTCTCATGCTTCATGGATCAAAGATTTACAGAATCCCCCGTTTTTCACTTGAAATCATGATTCATAGTTCAGAGATTAGACGGGGAATTAAGAAAAGGCCTCTAAGGATGCTTTTTTCCCCCCTAAGTACAGTTTTGGAAAGAATGCATTGCTCTTTAACTTTCCCACGGTTACAGAATAATCAAAGCATTGATAGAATTAACTGATTGATTATATGGATTGCCATGGACAGTAGCACTGGAAATGGAAAAAATATGCATGCACATAGTTTTTTTTTTTACGTGGGCTACATAATGTGAAAAGTGCAACATGTATATATATTCAGGCTTCCCTTCCCCTGATACTTATCAATTAAATCCTGTTTTATCACCTTCCTAATGCAGTTGATCCTTGAGCCCAAAATAATGCACACTACTATATGCAGAGTGGATACATTTTTAACACTGCTGCTTGTCTTGTTTTTCAAATGAGATTCTCCATAGCCGCATTTTAACAACAGGGAATAAGCTGGGAATGAGTACAAGTCACAGCAGACAGCATAAGCTACAGTTTCCAAGAACATTTAGACCAAGGAGAAAAATAAAGAAAAGAGAGATGATCAGAAGACAAGCTTAGATTATCTTAGTTCAAATCAAAGTGATTAGATACTAAGATTAGATAGTCCAGTTCAGACCTAAATT